TCCCATACTAATAAATGTTCTTATCATTTTTCAATCCATCTGGAATTTTTTAGAATATGGTTTGAGATAGAGGTCCAAACTTATGTTCTTCCAAATAGATTGCCTTGTACCACTTGTTTAAACACAGAGTTTTCCCCTCCTGAATTGAAATACAATGTGTCCTTGGTACATTGGTGTTAATTCCTGGTTTCACTCTTCTGTCACACTGGTCTCTTTGTCTAGTCCTGGATGGGAACCATACTGTGATTATGATGGCTTTTTTTTTTTTTTTTTTGGCGGTACGCGGGCCTCTCACTGTTGTGGCCTCTCCCGTTGCAGAGCACAGGCTCCGGACGCACAGGCTCAGCGGCCATGGCTCACGGGCCCAGCCGCTCCGCGGCACGTGGGATCCTCCCGGACCGGGGCACGAACCCGTGTCCCTTGCATCGGCAGGCGGACTCTCAACCACTGCGCCACCAGGGAAGCCCTATGATGGCTTTTGAGTATGTCTATAATCTGGCAAGTCAAAGTCCTCTTTACTACTCTTCTTTTTTTAAATATATAAATTTATTTATTTATTGTTGGCTGCGTTGGATCTTCGTTGCTGCGCGCGGGCTTTCTCTAGTTGTGGCGAGCTACTCTGCTACTCTGTTGTGGTGCACAGGCTTCTCATTGCGGTGGCTTCTCTTGTTGTAGAGCACGGCCTCTAGTGTGAGGGCTTCAGCAGTTGTGGCTCGCGGGCTCTAGAACGCAGGCTCAGTAGTTGTAGTGCACGGGCTTAGTTGCTCCGCAGCATGTGGGATCTTCCCGGACCAGGGCTCGAACTCATGTCCCCTGCATTGGCAGGCGGATTCTTAACCACTGTGCCACCAGGGAAGTCCCAACTACTACTCTTCATGATCTTCTTGGCTACTCTCATTTACTCTTCCTTCTGAACATTGAAATCATTCCATGTTCAAAAAACTCCCCATTGGGATTCTAATTGGGCATGAATTACACTCTATGAATTGTGATACTGTGTAATAATTTATAGGAATTCTTTCTTCCTAAGCACATGGTACATCTTTCAGATGGTTTTTGTCTCTTTTCCTGGCCTTCATATAACCCCTTTGGCTTTTGTGTAATATTTGTTCCTATGAATTGTGTATATATATATATATATATATATATATATATATTTTTTTTTTTTTTTTTTCTTTTTTGGTCATACCACACAGCGTGTGGGATCTTAGTTCCCCGACCAGGGATTGAACCTGGGCCCTCAGCAGTGAGAGCATGGAGTCCGAACTACTGGACCGCCAGGGAATTCCCTGAATTGTATAGTTTTGGACATCACTATGAATGAATGGTATTTTTTTCTCATTTCCATTTCCAGCTGGTTTTACCTCAAATACAGAAGAGCTATGGGTTTCTGTATGCAGCCATGTGCCTTAGGAAATTAGAAAATTAGAATCTCTTGGGTCTTCTAGGTTGACAATTCCTGCTGAGCTCTTCTTTTCAAACATTTACACTGATTATTCAAGTCCTTGTCATCTTGTTTTGCTGTAACCACCAAAAATAATGATACCCGCGGCAAGGGTGGGGCAACATCTTTCTCCTTCCTTTAACAAAAATGACTTCAGTATTTCACCATTTAAAATGACATTTGCTGTGGTTTTGTAGTTAGACTTACCAATTTTAGATACTATCCTATCTATTTTTAAAAATGTTTATTAGAAATAGCTATTGGATTTGATAAAATGCTTTGGCCAAAATGCTTTGGCCCTTTTTGAAAAATCATATGGCTATCTTCTAGATTTCTCGGTGTAATGAATTACCTTGGGAATATTTAGAAATTGAACTATTTTTACATCTTTGGAATAAATAGCACTTGGGTATAGTATTATTCTTCTGATAAGTGGTCACGTTTTTAGTATGTTTGCATCTTATCTGTTGGTGAGAGCTAGATTGTGGTAACATTTTCCTTTTTTTCTTTTTTAAAAAGGAAATTACAAGGGTTTTATTCTTTTTCTATGAGTTTGTTTTGGAGGTCTCATTCTTTTCTTTTTTCAAAAATGTTTTTCCCCAGTTGTATTGAGATATAATTGACATACAGCACTGTATAAGTTTAAGGTGTATGTACAGCATGACTTGAGTTAGGTATATCATAAAATGGTGACTGCGATAAGTTTAGTGAATATTCATCATGTCATATAGATACAAAATTTAAGAAAAAGAAAAAAATTGTTTCCTTGTGATGATAACTCAGAATTTACTCTCTTAAACATATGGCATATATAACATACAGCAGTTTGAATTATTATTATTTTATTTTATTTTATTTTATTTTGCGGTATGCGGGCCTCTCACTGTTGTGGCCTCTCCCGTTGCGGAGCACAGGCTCCGGACGCACAGGCTCAGCGGCCATGGCTCACGGGCCCAGCCACTCCGTGGCATGTGGGATCTTCCCGGACCGGGGCGCGAACCCGTGTCCCCTGCATCGGCAGGCGGACTCTCAACCACTGCGCCACCAGGGAAGCCCCAGCTTGAATTATTTTAATCATGTTGTACATTATATCCCTAGTACTTATTTATCTTATAACTGGAAGTGTGTACCTTTTGACTGCCTTCATGCAATTCCCCTGCCCCCATCCCTACCCCTTCTGGTGACCACAATCTGATCTCTTTTTCTATGGGTTTGTTTGTTTGTTTTTGCAGTATAATCGACCTACATTAGTTGCTGGCGTACAATGTAGTGATCTGATATTTCTATACATTAAAAAAGGATCACCATGTGGAACATTGTTTTAAAATATTCTATCTGTTATTTCTATGTTGGAGTGAAGGGGGTCAGGTTCCCACATCACATCATTCTGCCACCTTGACTAAAAGGCCAAACTCCCTCATTTTTTCTATATCCTTTTTTTGGGCTGCGTTGGGTCTTCGTTGCTGCATGCAGGCTTTCTCTAATTGCTGTGAGCAGGGGCTACTCTTCTTTGCGGTGCCCAGGCTTCTCATTGAGGCGGCTTCTCTTGTTGCAGAGCATTGTCACTAGGCACACGGGCTTCAGTAGTTGTGGCAAATGGGCTTAGTTGCTCCACGGCATGTGGGATCTTCCTGGACCAGGGATTGAACCCGTGTCTCCTGCATTAGCAGGTGAATTCTTAACCACTGCGCCACCAGGGAAGTCCTGGGCTATTTTTTATGATTATTTTTTAAATTAATTAATTTAGGCTGCATTGGGTCTTCGTTGCCGTGAGTGGGCTTTCTCTAGTTGTGGTGAGCGGGGGCTACTCTTTTTTTTTTTATTTTTATTTTTTGCGGTACGCGGGCCTCTCACTGTTGTGGCCTCTCCCGTTGCGGAGCACAGGCTCCGGACGCGCAGGCTCAGCGGCCATGGCTCACGGGCCCAGCTGCTCCGCGGCATGTGGGATCTTCCCGGACCGGGGCACGAACCCGCGTCCCCTGCATCGGCAGGCGGACTCTCAACCACGGCGCCACCAGGGAAGCCCTGGCCAGACTTTTAATAGCAGACCTTAATTTCTTCTGTTCCCTTATAATTGGAATAACGAATCTGTCCTCTTTTATGTTCAGCTTCTTTCACTCAAAACAATGTATGTGAGATTTCTCTATAGTGCTGACCTCATTCTCATTGATGTGTTGAACGGGTATAAATAAGTCAGTATTTCTATTCCTATTCGTTCATATTAATATATTGATGAATATACACTTGATATTCATTATTCTGTTGATGGGCACTTGGGTGCTTTCTGGTTTGGGGTGAGTATAAACACTTGGACCTCTTGAGTATATATGTCAGGGTGGAATTGTTGAGTTCCTGTCAAGATATGGATCGTTTCTGCAAGTGGTTGTGACATATTCACCTTTTAAATTTTAGCCATTCTTTAGCCATTCACCATTTCTAATGGCTGGATAGTATACCACTGTATGAATATTCAATTGATTAATTTAAACCACCATTTGGCTTGTTTCCAGTTTTGACTCTTCTCAAAAGTATAGAGATGAACATCCTTGAGTACTTTTCTTTATGCACTTGTAACTGCCCCCTAGCAATCACCTTTTTGGTTATTTCCAGTTTTGTTTTTAGGTACAAAATAACACTGGATATATGTAAAATAGATAACCAACAAGGGCCTACAGTATAGCACAGGGAACTATGCTGAATACCTTGTAATAACCTATAATGGAAGAGAATGTAAAAAAAGAACATATATGTATATATATTTAGGTATGTATAACTGAATCACTTCTCTATACACCTGAAACTAAGACAGCATTGTAAATCAACTATATTTCAATAAAAATTTTTTTAAAAACCCCACTGGAATAGACTTCCTTGCACATTCATCTTTTTTTTTTTTAATCCAAAAACGTGTGTGTGGAGGAGATTCACTGACAATTGTAGCAGAAGTGCCAATTCTTAAAAAAAATTAAGTTATTTATTTTTGGCTGCATTGGGTCTTAGTTACTGCGCACGGGCTTTCTCTAGTTGTGGCAAGCGGGGTCTACTCTTTGTTGCGGTGTGCAGGCTTCTCACTGCGATGGCTTCTCTTGTTGTGGAGCGTGGGTTCTAGGCACACGGGCTTCAGTAGCTGTGGCATGTGGGCTCAGTAGTTGTGGCTCGCGGGCTCTAGAGCGCACTCAGTAGTTGTGGTGTACAGGCTTAGTTGCTCCGTGGCATGTGGGATCTTCCCGGACCAGGGCTCGAACCCATGTCTCCTGCATTGGCAGGCAGATTCTTAACCACTGTGCCACCAGGGAAGCCCAGAAGTGCCTTTTTTTTTTTTTTTTTTTAAAGAAGATGTTGTGGGTAGGAGTTTATTAATTAATTAATTTATTTTTGCTGTGTTGCGTCTTCGTTTCTGTGCGAGGACTCTCTCTAGTTGTGGCAAGCGGGGGCCACTCTTCATCGCAGCGTGCAGGCCTCTCACTATCGCGGCCTCTCTTGTTGCGGAGCACAGGCTCCAGACGCGCAGGCTCAGTAGTTGTGGCACACGGGCCCAGTTGTTCCGCGCCATGTGGGATCCTCCCAGACCAGGGCTCGAACCCGTGTCCCCTGCATCAGCAAGCAGATTCTCAACCACTGCGCCACCGGGGAAGCCCCAGAAATGCCAATTTTTGATGGTGGCTTTATCCTACCCTTTGGCCTAACTGGTATTTCTCTAGTTTTACCTCTGAATGAGCGAGATTTGCAAAGAGAAAAAAAAAAAAAGTTGTGTTTTTTTTTTTTTTAAAAGAGAATTTAGTTTTTTTGCTTTTAACATCTCTTTTCGTTTTGGTCTTGGGGACAGAGCCAACCCAGGTCAGTGTAGCTGCACAGTGCATGGGCTGAAGGGATGAAGGCTGCTTCCTCTTGCAAGCTGGCTTCTGAGATTGCACCTTCTCTTCCTGCTTTTCCTCCAGGTCTGTGACCCTCCAAGGTATGAAGTCTGACTGGTCCAGCCAGAAGGGGGTACTTCTGCAAAGTAAGTGTCTTATGCTCCAGGTTATATATCAGGGCTGCTTGACAGTATCTGAACTCTCTCTGCATCAAAGTACTTCCTTTTTTTTTTTTTAACAGCAGATGGACTAAGATTTATTTATTTACTTAACATTAACATTTAAAAAGATTTCATTTATCTCAGCAACTTGAAAGACAATTGAGTGTACTATTAAAACGCTTGAAATCCAGAGACAAGAAAGATCCCAGCGCCATTCTGGAGGTGGCGTGAAGATCTGTGCCAGGCCTCCAACCTAGGCTAGGCTCTGCCATGAAACTGAGACAACCTAAAGATAAGACAGCCTTGGCCTCGTTCCCCCTGGGAGACAGCCCTAACTGCTCATGAGTAAGAGAGAGCTAGATTGTACTGAGGACTGGTTCCTCATGAGTCATCAGGAAGGTCAGTTGGTTCTGTCTTCAGCAGGTAGTCAAAGTACTTCTGAAAGCCAGTCATGCCCTCATTCTTCCCTCTACCACCCTTCCATCTGTCATTGATCTATCCATCATCTATGTTATCCCCCATTCATTCACTGATCCATCCAGCCATTCATCGGTCCACCTCCTATTCATTGATCTCTTTACCAATTCCTTCAGCTTTCTTCATTCACACACAGTTATCTACTCAGGTTTCATCCATCCATCTGCCCACTCATGTCTCCTCCCTCCCTCCATCTATCCATATATCCCGCCACCCACCCACCCATCCACGCATCTATCCATCCACCCACCTACTCATCTATCCATCCATCCATTCCTCCAGCCATCCATTCCTCCATCCACCCACACATCCATCCATTTATCTGTTTACTCACTCATCCATCCGTTCATCCATCCATCCATGTGTCCATTTCCTTATTTACTTATCTGTTCATCAATTGATTCGTCAACTTCATTTACTCATCCATTTGCAGCCCTACCCTTCATCCATTCCTCCAACCCATCCAGCATTCACGCGTCCACTGATTTATCCATTCAGTATCTAGCCATGAGACCATCTATCCATCCAGCTTTCAGTCCACTCATCCACTCACTTATTGGTCAAGCTAGCCACCCAGCCAATACCTGTTCAAAACTTGGAACCAAGCCCTGTGACTGAGGTAGGGCCACAGAAGTGACTCAGACTTGGTTCCCGCCCTCTAGGAATTCACAGTCGATGGAGAAAAGCAAATAATAACACCAGGCGCATGCACACACAAACAGGATATTTCCAAAATACTGTGATCAGTGCTGTACTCACAGTATGTTCCAGATACAGAAGAAGGTCGAAAAGCAGATAGGTGGTCAGACATTCAGGTGAGAACGTGCCCTGCGTGCTGGTGTTGGAGTAGCCCCAGGATGATGAGGGAGACATGGGTACCAAAGGCCACCTGGGCATGTGGCTGGGAGAGAGAGGGCCTGCCAAGGAGAGGAGGAAGGTGGCAAGGTGCCAGGAGCAAGAAGATGTAGGTTCTGGGGTGAGTGCCCGCCCCAGCCAGGAGGCCTCGTGTGTACATTACACTGCTCCCTGACCACTTACTTCCCTGTAACCCCCCACAGGCAGAGCTGAGCCGCCTAGGAACCAAAGCAAGGCAGCAAGCAACACAGCTACAGGTGTCACCCAGTGGGCAGAGCTCCTATCAGCCGTCCCCAACCTTCAAGACAAAGTGGGGACACTGCGTCTGCAGCTACAGGTGTCACCCAGTGGGAAGAGCTCCTATCAGCCCGTCCCCAATCTCCAAGGCAAAGCAGGGACACTGCATCCACGGCCCCGGCATGAGCCGCCTGCATCCGAGGAGACCCTTGTGCAACAGCCAGACAAGGACGAGACGGTGGCTCATCATGTCCCATGCCTCCGGGCTGCGGTGGAGAGACAGACCTTCAAGAATGTCCTGGTGGACGAAATGGACATGATGTTGTCCCACGCAGCCACCCTCATCCAAGCCAACTGGAGGGGCTACCGGCTCCGGCAGAAGGTAATCTCTCAGGTGATGGTGACCAAGGCCATCCAGGAGGCCTGGCGACGCTTCAGCACCAGGTGCCTCCTCCAGTCTGGCAAGACGGTGGAGAAAAAAGCGAAGGTGGAGGAGAGGGACATCCCTTACCACTCGCCCCGGCAGGTGCGGTTCCAGCATCTGGAAGAGGGCAAGTCCCTTCTGGCCCAGCCCACCATGGTGAGCAAGGAGACCCAGTTTCCTTCCTCCAACGGCCTGGCCGCTTGTACCCACCAGCTGGCCTTGCTGCAGTCCCAGGGCATGTCACAGCCGGGTACGTGCTCTGTCGGAGGCCCCAGCGTCGCCTTCCTTCCACACCAGACCGCTGCCATCAGACTTCCGTGTCCTGTGAGTCCAGAGGCGAAGTGCCTCCCATGCCTGCTGACAAGAACCATCAGAAATGCCTGCCTTGTCCACGGAGAGGGGGACATGATGAAGACCAAGCAAGTTACTGCCAGAGCTAACAAGGCAGGAGGCCCGGGGCCACCACCATCCGGAAGATGTGCCCAGGCAGTTCAAGGACAACTCAAGAGCCAGACCCAGGCCCACATGGAAGCAGAGGTCCTCGAAGGGCCACCACAGACAGGCCCAGCACCCGTGATAACCAAGACCCCAGCCCAGACGTGCCCACAAGCCACAGTGACCAAGACCCTACTCCAGTCATGCCTAGCGGCCACGATGAACAAAATCCAATCCCAGCCGTGCCCAGTGCCCGTGATAACAATAACCAAAACCCCACCCCAGCCCTGCCCAGCGACCCCGGTGACCAAGACCTCAGTTCAAATGAGACCATCAGCCTCGATGACCAACACTTCACCCCGGACACGACCAGCAGCCATGATGGCCAAGACTCCACCCCAGTTATGCCTGTTGCCCTCAACGTTCAAGTCTCCAACGCAGACACGCCCTGCAGCCACGATGACCAAGGCCCCACCCCAGACGTGTGCAGCGCTCGTGATGGCCAAGACCCCACCCCAGGTGCGCCTGGCAGCCACGATGACCAAGACCCCATCTCATCAGACACTCCAAGGCGTCTCGGTGACCAAAGGTCCTCCTGCCCAGACACGCCTGGCGGCCATGGTAACCAAGACCCCAGCTCAGTTACGCTCAGTAGCCGCCATCCTCAGGACCCTGTGCCTGCCCCCTCCAGCAGCTGAAAATCTCAAACCTCCACCTTCAGCATTGGCGGCAGCTGGAATTCCCGACACCTCATCCCACACATGTCTAAGTGGACTGAAGGCCAAGGCTGTGGTGAACGCGAGGCAGGCAGCAGGGGTGACCAAGGTCTCACCCCACCCGTACTTGACTAAGGGAAAAATGAAATGCTTCCCCCCATCACATCTGGGGGCTGGGGACCCCAAGCCTACAGCCAGGCCTCCTTCGGACGGTGAGAAAGTCAAGGACTTCTCCCAGAAACGGGTGAAAACAGAAACAGCGTCTAACATCAGTGAGGCCGTGGAAGTGCCCGTGGTGTCGTCCTGGTCAAAAGTGGCTGAGGATGGGAGCAAGCAGGCACACCTGAGGACGGATGTCGTGAAGGCCCTATCCCAGGTATGTGAGCCTATAGAAACAGCTGTGGCACATCTGGGTACCTGTCTGCCTCAGGCACAACCGGCCCCGTGTTCGACCACAGGCTCGCCTCAGGCACGTCTGCCGGCCGAGCTGACCAAGCCCCCGTCCCAGGCACATGTTTCTACCAAGCTGACCAAGGGCCCGTCCCAAGGACATCCACCCCCTGAGCTGACCACAGCCCTAGCCCAATCACATCTGTCCAAGGTGCAGTCCCAGGCACATCTGCCCACCACGTTGACCCAGGCACCGTCCCAGGCACATCTGGCCACAGAAACGGCCAAGAGCTTCCACGCAGCCCGCCAGGCCGCTGAACTCAGCAGGAAGACCCAGTCCCAACCACTCCTAGTCGAGTTCAAGGCCTCCACCCAGCCCTGCCAGCACGTTGGCGCCCTGCCCCGAGCCAAGCCAGAGGACAGATTGACCCGGCTCCTGTCCCACATCTACGTGCAGGGCAAGGCCACCCAGGGCCCACGCCAGGGGGCCTCTGAGAGCCAGAACACGCTGGTGCCTCTGCTGGCCTCTGCTGGGCACACCACGTGCAATGTCCAATCCTGGGGGGACAGGGCCCAGCTGTCAACAAGCAGCCCAGCCCCGCCCTGCCAGGAGGAGCTGGCAGCCTCCCAGCTCGCTTCCCTATGTGCTGAGCTGGCTGCCCTGCTGGGCTCCCAGGAGGACCTCTCCGCGCCCTGCTGGCAAAAGCCCTCTCCCAGGGGAAAGTGAGGGCGGCCCTGGACCAGGCCCTATCCAAAGAGGTCTCGGGAGCCACGATGGCCAAGGCCCTGCCCCAGGGCATCCTGGGCACGGCGCTGGTGAAGGCGCTGTCCTGGGGCAAGCTGGCCACCAGCCTGTCCTGCGCCCTGGCCCGGGGCGAGCTGCGGGCAGAGCTCCCTAAGGCCATTCAGGGCAGACTGGCGGACGTGCTCAGCAAGGCCCTGATGGAGGGGGAGCGGGCCACCTTGAACCAGGCCCTGTGTCAGGGTGAGCTGGGCGCAGTCCTCAGCCAGTCTTTTTCTCAGGTGGTCCTGAGGTCTGGAGTCGTCCTCCCCAAGGCTGCCGCGAAAACGGCGGGAAGCGGGGTGACTGTGATGCCGACCCTGGTGGAGGTGGACTGCAGGAGGAGCCCGTCGGCTGCATGGGGTCCCACCCTGGGCCCCATGAGACTACAGCCCAGCAAGGTCAGGGTTCACTGGGGTGGGGCCTCGGAGGGTTTCATCACAGGCTGGCCCTCCAGGCTCTTGGAAGAGGTGGGGGATGGAGCCATGCTCGGGGGGTCACCCTGCTCCTCGGTGGTCTCTGTGGGCGCCTCCTTGACTGCTGGACCCCTTGACCATTCATCAGTATCCCCTGATTGCTGCCCTGGACCCCACTCTGTCACAGGAGATGGGACCCAGCAGAGACACCCTAAATCTGTACCTGACCCCCAAGGTCCGTGAGGCAAATGTGTGCCTGCACCCAAGGGCTAGTGAACTGGCCTCAGATCTCAGTCCCATGGTGAGTGAGGTGGACCCCAATTTGTCCAACTCGCCCCACCAGCAGCCGCCCCCCAGTCTGTGGCAGCCACTCATTGCCAATGGCGTGGGCCCAAGCATGAGCCGGCCATCACTGGCCAGTGGCAGCATGACCCCAAGCGCCCACAATCCACACGAGGTCAGCAGGGCGGCCCCACGTCCATGGGCGTCGTCGGGGGAGGGCAGGGTAGTGGCACCGGGCAAGCTTCCCGGCACTACAGGTCGTGGGAGGGGCACCCACTCCCACCAGCGTGCCGCTGCCTATGTGGGGTCGGCTTGCGGGTGTCAACCCTCCGGGGTCAGCAGGGTACCTCCCGGTGTGTGTCGACCCTCAGTGGCCAGAGGTCCGCAACAGTCATCTATGGTCCCTGAGGAGACCATGCAGAGAACTCGGTCCCCAGATCCTAAACGAGCCTCCATGGGCACTAGGGAGATGACCAACAAGGTGACCCCAAGTCCACCACATGCCTCCACGGTGAGCAAAGCACAACCACAGGCCCCCAAGGCCTGTGTCATAACCCCAGATCTCCGGCCCGGCTCCGTAGCTCCTGGTCATCGCTGGGCACTCAAGACTCAGGTTGATCTCAGTCTGTTCCAAGCCTCCCCAGGCAATAGGCTGGCGCCCACCCTTCCCCGTACAGCCATCCCTGGGCAGGAGGAAAATCAAGCACGGGGTACCATTTCCAGTGTTCACTGCCCACAGGAGCTGGTGACTAGCCACATACTTAATGAACTGGTGTCCACTTTGCCACAGGGTCCAGACAGTGACCTGGCCAGAAGCTTCTCCCAGGGCTCCACAGACTATGGCTCCCATGTGAGCAATTCCCAGAGCTCACTGCGCAACTGCAGTTCACTCAGCCTTTCCTCCAAGTCTGTGGCCAGCATGACCGCTGTTGACCTGGTGGAGGAGTAGTCCTGGGAAGCCAGCTTGGACAGGGAGCTTCATCTAGATCCTCTCCTCTCTGGGGCGCCTGTGGAGAGGTCCCAGGGACCTGGGAGCATGGAAGAGTCTGAGAGAGCAGGCCATAGGCACACGACCCCACACCTCCACGACCGGTCTTCTGCAGCCTCAGAACTGATCCCCCTTCTGCGTCACAGTTCAGTGGCCAGTCGCATGACCTAGAGTGTCCACTGGGGCTCAGATGATGAGGGAGATATGTCCTCAGGCCAAAGCTCCATGAATCTGAAGGAGAGCTTATCCCAGAAACCCTATAGGACTGGGTTGACCCTCAGTCTGTCTTTGAGTAATGTGGTCCCTATGGTCTATTGGCGGCCATCTGTGGCCGGTAGGTTGACCCCATGCCTGTCCCAGCCTACAGTAGCCAGTAAGGTCTCCCCAGACCCAGACCAGCTCTCTGTGGCCAGTAGAGTGATCGCCAGCCTATCTGGGCCATCTGTGGCCAGTAAGATGACTCCCACCCTAAGCCAGACATCCAGGACCAATAGGGTGGCCCCTAGCCTAGCTCAGCCATTGGTGACTGATGGGTCCCCAGCTTTGCACAGCCATTGATGGCCCGTAGGGTGGCTCTCAGCCTAGCCCAGCCATCCATGGCCGGTGTGGTGGCCCCCAGCTTAGCCCAACCACCTGTGACTGGTGGGGTGGCCCTGGGCCTAGCCCAGCCATCTATGACCACTGGGGTGGCCCCCAGCCTTGCCCAGCCACCTGTGAACAGTGGGGTGGCCCCTAGCTTAGCCCAGCTGCCTGTGACTTGTGGGGGGACCCCCAGCCTAGCCCAGCCACGTGTGACCAGTGGGGTGCCCCCCAGCCTTGCCCAGACACCTGTGACCAGTGGGGTGGCCCCCAGCTTAGCCCAGCTGCCTGTGACTCATGGCAGGGCCCCTAGCCCAAGCCAGCCACCTATGACTGATGGGATGACCCCCAGCCTAGGCCAGACATGTAGGGTTGGTGGGGTGGCCCCCACTCTAGCCCAGTCACCTATGACCATTGGGGTGGCCCCTAGCCTAGGCCAACCATCTATGACCATTGGAGTAAACCCCTGCCTAGCCCAGCCATCCTTCGCCAGTGGGATGGCTCCTAGCTTAGGCCAACCTCCTATGGCTTATGTGGTGGCCCCCAGCCTAGGCCAGCCATCTGTGGCTGGGAGGGGGATGCCCAGCCTGGCCCAGCCGTCTGTGATTAGTGGTATCGGTTGTGCACTCTGTCAGCCAAGTTGGGCCCGTAGCATGGGTTCAAATCTACTGTCCTCAAGGGTGAGTGCAGTGGCTCCCCGTCAGCGTCCTTCCTCTCTTGCCATTGAAGTCACCTCGTGTGCACCATGTCCATCAGTGGCTAACAGCGTGGGCCGGGGTCTGAGCCAGCCAGCTGTGTCTACTAGGGTGGACCCGTGTCAAGATCCTCTGACGGTTAGTGGGGTGACCCCACATCCCCAGGCCCCTGAGCTCCGCAAGGTGGCCCTTGGGTTCCATCAGCCATCCAGTATCAGTGGGAGACACCCAAGCATAACTGAACAGTCTGCTGTCACTGTTTCAGCTCCAAGTCTCTACCAGGCATCTGTGGCCCGTGGAGAGGACTCTCGTCTGGGCCAGGGAACTAGTATATCTCAGGGGATTCTGTTCAGGGGCAGGGCTACAAGCATGTCCCAGGGCACCGTGGCTGCTGGCATGCTTCCACATTTGGAAGCTGCTCGTGTGTTGCTAAGTATGTCTCGGGTACCTGTATCCCCTGGCACGTCAGGGAGTATGGGGTGGAGAAGTGTGGTGGCTGGTATGGGCCCAAGCCAATCTCAGGTGACCGGGGGCGTGGCCCCCATTACATCCTGGGCCTCTGCGGCTGGTGCCCCCGTGATTCACGAACCAGCCTCAGAGGCGGGACCTGGCTTCTCTCCAGCTTCAGTGCCCGGTGGATTGGATGTGAGTTCATCCAAGTTTTCCCTCACCCATGTGGGCCCCGGCATATCTCAGGTCAATGTCCATCTCCCAATATCTTTGGACCAACAGCGTCCTTCTGTGCTTCCAATCTCCAAATCCAGTTACCAACAAGCAGATGCTGTCAGCCAGGAGCCTGGGATGGGCATGGCCAGTGGTGTGCTGCCAGGTTCTGTAGCCAGTAGGATGACCACAGCTGTGGCCTCAGGTACTAGGGCCGGTGGTATGACCCCTAGTCTTTCCCCAGGGTCCGTGATCAGGGGTGTGGGCCAGAGCCTTCCTCAAGGGTCCATGATGAGTTGTGTGGCCCCAGCCTTCCACCAGGTTATATGGTCAGTGGTGTGGTTCAGACCCTTCCCCCAGGGTTCGTGATCAGTGGCATGGGTCAGGGCCTTCCTCCAGGTTCTGGGGCCAATGGCATGGCCAGAACCCTGCCTCTGAGTTCTGTCACAACTGCAGTGTCCCCCAGCCTGAATGCAGCATCCGGTGCTGGTGGGAAGAGGCAAGGTCTCTCTGTAAGACCGTCAGCTAGTCTAACTGCTCCAAGCCTGCTCCTAGGTTCAGCGGCAAGTGGGGTGGGCTCAAGTACCCCTCCTCGTCCTGTGGCCTCTAGTGTGGACCCAGCAGCTATGCCTGGGGGACTGGATCAGAACCTAGTTCTGGAGTCCATGGCTAGGACAGCTGGTCCACCCTCCACAGTTGGAGGCGTGGCCCAGAGCCTGCCCCAAGGGTCCATGCTGATTGGGCTCTCTCCCCATCAATATCACGGAGCCCTGGCAGGAGAAGCGTCCACAGCCTCCTTCCAGGCATCCCGTGCCCCTGGCCTGGCTCAAGCTTACCTCCAGGAAGCTAATGGCACAGCCAAGGGAGTGTACCAAGTGCCTACGGTTCTGCAAAGAGCCTCACAGTTGAGCCAAGCTCTTGGGATGATGCTGTTTGAGACCACAGGCCACCAGACTGTGATAAAGCCAGAGGACCTGGACGAGGCTTTGCCCCAGGGGTCCATATCCAACCGGGAGTCCGAGGTCCTTGAGGCAACCCCGTGGATGTCCCATAGTCCCCTGGCAACTGACATCGACCACAGTCAAGAATTCCCTGCAGACTCTTCCCAAAGACCAAATGCCGCTCTTGGAGGAGGCGGCTCCCAGCTAAGCTATGTCTATGACCAGCGGCATGGCCTCTGTCCCTCCACAGTCCCCGAGGTTTGCCAAGCACTCCGTGGCCAGTGGTGGCACCCCAACTCTGCATCAGAGGTCAGCCAGCAATTGGGGGGCCCCCAGTTCCCACCTTGTGGCTGCTAGTGGGGTCCCCGGTGCGCAGACAGGGTCTGTCAAGGGCACTTTGGCTCATCAGCAGACATCAGTGTCTCACGCTGTACCCCGGAGCCCCTCCATGGTTTATGTTGTGCCCCAGAGCCCCTCGGCGGCTCACATGTCCCGGAGCCATTCCCGTGGGATGATGGCTTCTACTGTCATCTCAGGGTCACCCAAGCTGGCCCATGGCAGTACTATTGGCAACCGGTTTACACCCAGGATCTGTGGCTGGGATGGGGACCCCAAGCACTTCCCGGAAGTCAGGGGCCACCAGCGTGGCCTCACACGTGCCACTTCATCCACCCCTGGTGAGAGGGGTGGCATCCAGCGCGCTCCAGAAGCCAGTGTCTGGGGGTCTGATTCAGGATGGCCGTGAGTCCCTCGGCCCTAGAAAATCCTTCAGGGCCACGCATGATGTCCCTTTCCCACAAACGCCGGACAATTCTGTGGCTGGGACGGGCCCCGGCAATCAGGAGCAGAAGGATGCCCCCAGGTCCTCACAGGAAGTTCCTAAACCTTCCACAGGCGCACCGCTGGCCCTAGCGCCAACAGTCTACACTGGTGAGGCGGCACCACGGATGGTCTTCCCTAGGCTGAATCCGGGGGTTCGGAGTGTGTCCCTGGGCTCTGAGCCTTCACCGAGTGGTTCCCGGCGGCCCCTCTTTAACCAGGAGTCGCCGCCGGTGTCTCGGAATTCCCTTAGCTCCGTGGCTCCTGCAGACAGTCACGGGGCATCCCTGACTCCCGCTGTACTCCAGGGTCCTGAGGACAGTGGCGTGTCTGGCAGCCAAGTGTGGAACTCTGCTGTCCCCAGCGTAGCGGTCGGGCCCAGAGACGGCACTGCGGCCCCTGGGGGCGCGTGGGATGTCATGGCGGCGGTGGATCCCAGACCGCCGGGGGAGCTGGTGACGTCGTCGGCGCAGGCTGTGGAGGAGATAATCGTGCATGCGGTGGTCATCCTCCAGGCGTGTACACGTGGCTTCCTGGTGCGCCGTACCATCAAGGTGTGGCATCAGTGGGCCATCCCCATCCAGGCTGCCTGGCGTGGCTACCGTCTACGGCGGGACCTGGCCTGGCTCTGCAGAGCCGCCACAGTCATCCAGGCTGCGTGGCGAGGCTTCTGCATCCGCCGGAGCTGCACCCAGCAGATGCTGCTCCCAGGCATGTGGGCTGAGACGGGCAGCAGGGCCAGGACCACGTCTGATCACCGCTGCTTCCAGTCCTGCCACCCACGTGTCTGTAGTCTCTGCCAGTCACTGAGCTCCGGACTGGGGAGCCCACCCATCGTGGTGATGCTTGTGGGTTCCAGCTCCCGCACATGCCACATATGCGGCCATACCCTGCCCACCCGGGTGCTGCATGGCACGGGCCAGGGTGCCGCGGGCCAGGCCGGCATGCCACGGGGCTGCCTCACCCGGTCAAACCCCCAGAGCCCCTGGCAACCCCATCACCAGAGCCAGAGCAAGGCAGCCACGGCCATTCAGTCAGCCTGGAGGGGCTTCGCTGTACGCTGCCAGCTGAAGCAGCGGCGGTTAGCAGCCAAGATGCTTCAAGCCACCTGGCGCGGCCATTGCACCCGGGCCTCTCTCACCACGGATGCGCTCTTGGGACCAGCGGCGTGGGACAACTCACAGCACATGCCGTGGCTAGGTGTCTAGGACCTTGGCTTACCAGTGGGGGAACACCAGGGGAGGAGCCATGTGGCTCTCTGGGTCTAATGAATAAAGCCCTCCACAGTCTGGGTCTTGGTCTACCTGTGCTTACGGGGGTGTCTCGGGCATGGTGCGAGGGAAAATGAGAGGGATCTGGAACATCCTGGACAGGAGGGGCCCCAAACTTCCAACCATGCAGTTGGCACCTAGGGTCTGTGGCTGGGATGGGGACCCCAAGCCTTTCCCAGAGGTCAGGGCTGCCAGCGTGGCCTCATACGTACCATCATATTCATCCACGGCTAGCAGGGCAGCGTCGTCGGTTCCAGATGGAGGTACTCCAGAAGCCAGTGTCTGGGGACCTGGCCTAGAATGGCCACCATGGGTCCCTTGGCCCTGGAAAATCCTACAGGTGCATGCATGGGTGCCTCATTCAGGAATTACTAGAGGGTTCCAGCCACATCCAGATTTGGGGGGATGCCGGGCCCAGCCCCAAGGGGCCCCAATCTGGGTGAGAGAGAGCCGTACATAGACATCCCCAGCTGGTGGGATCAGGGACAGGGCAGAGAGGGAGAGAGGGGGCAGCCTGGCCAAGAGGAGGGGTAGAGGGGGGTGACAGCGTGGGTGTGGGGCAGCCATAGAGGGGGCACAGAGAGATGGGGGCTCCAGGGGGAACTAGAAGGGGCAGAGGGTATCCTGAGGGGATAGGCAAGGTGTAAAGGCTTCAGGGTCATGAATCAGGAGGGTTTGTTAGGAGAGGTGGAGGGGTCCAAGTGGAGAGGGGGTCAGGAATGTCGCCCCTGGTGAACCGTAGCGCCCCCCAGAGGCCCTGCGTCCGGAAGCCCCGCCTCCGCCTCGCCCCTGAGCAGCTCCGCGTGCCGCCAGCAGGGGCCGCACAGGTGTAAAGAGCAGGCACCTGGCCGCACACCTGCGCGGAGCCCGCAGTCCCCCCTCCCCACGCAGGAATTGCGGGCTCCCAGCTGCCGCAGCCGCTTCTGTTGCTGCTGCTGAAACCTGGTGGGAGTTCCGGAACTGCCAGTGTCACCTCTACAGGTAAGAACAGGTAAGAAGGAGATCCAGCTTCCAGGAAGCTGAAGGGGGCATATGGCCTAGCCACACACCTGGCATCTGGACTCCTCCCTTAGGCCACGCTGCTCTGGCACTCCATCCCTCCCCCCAAAAGGGCTGCTCCTTCTCCCAGAAGCAAGGTGGGGTGGTCGTGAGAACGGTGGGAGCACCACCACCCTTCCACCCCCACCCCCAGCCCTGAGGCCGCCAGTTCGGCCACCCCAGCATAGCCTGAGCCAGCGAGAGGCTGGTGAATGCCTCATTCCCAGTTTGAGGTTCCGTTTCAAATCTCAGTTTTTCTTAGCCAGACCCCAAAGGGAGAAGTGTGAGGTCCCCAGGACCATGGGGGTGCGGGCGGGAGAAGGGCTCACTTCCTGGTCACTGAGCATCGATGGCTCCCAGAAGAAGTTCTTGGCGCCTGACTTAATTTCTTTCTGCTCCCCTATAAGACAGTTCCCAGGGTGGAGAAGTCATCGCTCTCTGACCCATGTCCCAGCCCCAAACCTGGAATATCAGAGCGGAGGCCACCACACGTGAGACTCTTATAGCAGACAAGGGCTTCACTCAGAAGGCACCACGTTTATCCCCATTTCATAGCTCTGGAAACTGAGGCTCAGGGAATCCGAGTCTCCCAGCCTGTGCCAGACCCAGATTAGAACCAGCTGACTTGGCTCATGCCAGTCTCCTGGTCTAGGAGTCTCTGGGCAAAGCAAACTCCTGGCACAGTGCATAGAAACAGCCCCATTTTACCTTCTGGTCAACTCTCCAGCTGCTCATGAGTGTCTGCTCTGTGCCAGGCACTCAGTAGAGTTTATGTCCTCAACAACCTCCTCCTTGCAGGCCCACTAGTTTTCCTCAGTTTGCTTTAGAAGTTCAACTCCTCAGAGGTCTAGCTTGGCTTGGGGTCCACTGTGGCCCCTGAGTCATCTTCATTTCAGCAGATAACTCTTCTCATCTGTATTCTTCCTCAAATAATGGTGGGAGACCTTTTGGGGAGGCTGAACTCTTAGTCCTTGACTCCTCAGAGGTCTTTGAGGGGCCTTCTTCCCACTTTCCAGTCACCTGGGGCCAGACTCTCTACCATTCTGAGCCTCAGTTCCCCACCAGTAAAATGGGGATGAAGTCAGGCCAGCGCACCATGCCTCTTCTAGACTCATCTGTCATCCCCGTGGGGCCTGGGAAACTGGACAGAGAAACAGGGTCTGCATGTGGACCCTGCCCCTTCCTGGGGCCAGTGCCAGATATTATTTCTGCATTTCTGCTGCTTGGGGTGAGGCAGGGGAGGAAGCACAAAGATTGGTCCAGGGCAGAGTGGATGGGGTGGGGCAGGGAGTGGTTGATGAATGAACTTGCAAGCAGTTAAGGTGCCCAGCAGCCTGGAACTGGGAAGGAAGTAATTGTGGGGGGGCAGCCCATGCAGTCTTTACCTACCCTCAGCCTGGCCTCTGGGCTCCGTGTCTAGGATGGGGTAGAAGCTAGGGAGCAGCTGGAGCAAGGTAGTGGGGGTTCCAGAGTCTTAGAGCCCAGGCCTCTGTGGCTCTAAGGTCCATGGGGACCTTCCAGGTACCTGGGGAAGCAGATTAGGGCTGATCCCCCTTGGGAGCTCAGAGGTGGATCTCTGCCGTCAAACATCACCTTGTACCAGACCTGCGTGAGCTCTCAGACACTCTGACTTCCTGTGACGTCCATTTTACAGACAAGGAATCTGAGTCCCGGAAGTTTTAAAAGAGTTGCTCAGCATGCTGCTTGGGTTGCAGCCATTCCCCATATCCAGAGATTTCTAGACCCCTGAAGCAAGAGTAAGGGGCAGGGAGGGTCCACCCTGAACTGGAACCCTGGCTGTGGGAGTTCAGACAAGGAAATTCAGACGAGGGCACCTCAGTTTCCCACCAAGCACTCACGTGGTGCACTAAATCCTTCAAGTCTCCCTAAGCGGTGGGTGTCGTCTATCTGACGTAATAGGGAAAGAGGCGTCCAGAGGGGAGTCTGGGCCAGGCTCACAAGCCCTTGTTCCTAATCAGCTTCTCCCTGCGCCCCAATGGTGTTTTCTTTTCAGGTGTTACAATCTCAGAGATGGAGAACTTGACTTCCTAATCTCTGACTTCTCCCTCCAGCCACCCCTCCCCTACTTCAGTGGAAAACCACAACAGCCAAGAGAGCCCAGAGACAGGCTCCACCCCCTCACCCTAGCACCCCTAGTTCAGAGGCAGGTTCCATAACCCCCTCAAATTCAGGGGCAACCTCCACCATGCAGCCCACCTCCTCACAAGCAGAGAGACAGTCACCCACTCCAGCTCCGGCTCTCCCAGTTCAGAGCACACCGTCACCTCCCGCTCTAGTCCCCTGAGTTCCGTCTCCTTGACCACCCTGCATCGGAGCCCCACTCACCCCAATCCCAGCACGGTGCCTTCCTCCGTGTCCTCGGCCACCATTGACGGGACATCCGTGGCCTCTGACCTTGGTGAGTATTGGGACATTTGGGCAGATGGGGGATGGTTGCGGATACCAGGGTGCAGTTCTGAGATTGGCCACCAGGGAGAGACACAGTCCTAAGAATATGCTGGGAAGGGCCTCTTCTCCCACCCCAGCATCACCTAAACCTCTTCAGACCTTCTTCATTCCAAGCACGTTTTATTAAGCACCTATCCTGTGTCGGGCCCTGTGAGACACAGTTATGTTGGGAGACAGGTTATAAGTAAATTACATATTTGTTTATAAAAGAACAAAGTAGAGCAGGATAAGTGGTTGGAACGTGAGTGCAAAGGTTTTGAAATTTTTAAAGACTATTCAGCCAAGGTCTTGGTTTGAAGGAGGCAAAGGAGGGAACCACGCAGGTAGCTAGGGAGAGAACAGCCCAGGCAGTGAGCACAGCAAGTGCAAAGGCCCTGAGGTAGGACTGTGCCTGGTGCATCTGAAGAAGAGTGAGATGGCTGGAATGGGGCGAGTGGGGGTACTAGTGGGGAGCAGTGAGGGTGAGGAAGTTGCAGGGTGTGATCATACAGGGCCCCAGGGGTCCAATAGAGGCCAAGCATTTTCAGAGGGTCTAGAAAAATCTGTCATTCAAAATAATACATTGTCTCCAAAACATGCAAAGAAGAATGCAAACACAAAGCGTAATAACATTTTGCTTAAAGTCACAGGATATAAACCATCTTCACGAAGTGTCAAATTTTGCATGTATCCTCAGAAAGTCGCTGCATTTGGAAACAGAGTTCTAGGTTGGATTATTTTTTTCACTTTGCAAGAACTCCCAGAAGTGGCCAACAATGGCTGTGGAAACACAGGGAACAAAATTGATTGCTTGTGGACAAATATATTCAAAAGAAAAAGCAAAAAGAAAAGAAAGGAAAAGAAAAACAAAAGTAAAAGAATAAAAATGTGCTTGAAAAAATGGTTACAGCAGAGACTGGAGAGGGAATTAAGCACAGCTTCCTGAAAGGGGACTTAAAAGGCACTGGGCCCTGGTGGGTGTCTCAGCCTTAGAAGGGATGGGGTCTAGGGCTGACTCAGAGCTCCCCTCCAGGTGACACTGGAGCCCCCGAGTTGCACAGGAACCCAGGTGTGGTGGTGGCCGTGTGTCTGCTGGTGTGTGTTTTGCTCATCTGATGTGTGATAATGGCCGTGAGGTGCTGCCACAAAGGCATGTCTGAGTTCCAGAAGCTGGATGAGGTATCCATGGGGTTGGGGGGAGGCTAGGCTGGGGGGATGGCCCTCCCAAGCAGGGCAGGCCCCTGCTGCAAAGCCCACTGGTGCCTCAACAACCTCTTGTGTGTGTTCCTCCTTCAGGGGCGTGTGAGCTGAAGGTCATCCTCTGCCTGTCACACACTGGAGTGATCCTCAAGAGGCTGGGATGGGGGGCTTGGATGGGGCTGGGGTGTCTGGAGAGGGGCAAGGCTTGTGGGAATAAAGCCCCTGCTGTTCCTCTGAGGCATCCTGAATCACGGATTCATTTGACAAACATTCCTGAGTGTGTACTATGTGCTGGGGTCACAGTGGGGACCATTTCTCCACCCTTACGGAGCCAACAGTCTCAAGGGGAAAGACTGACGACAGCCAGGGGATCGAGTGACATAATTTCAGATGGCTGAGGGCCAGAAAGTCACAGATTGGGGTTGTGGCTGGATCCCAGGGTCCCATGTGTCCAGGTTTGCAGAGAGGGTAGGGAGGTCTCTCTGGAAGGTGCACCACGAGGCTCGTGGGATCTTAGTTCCCTGACCAGGGATTGAACCCGGGCCTTTGGCAGTGAGAACGCAGAGTCCTAACCCCTGGA